TCACAACAATAATTAAATTTGGAAGAAATGGGTGAAATCCTACTTGTGCTGATGTTAGGAGCATTTCATTTTATAGTCAGTGAGTATCACATTATGCAGAAGACAGTAATGTCAACAAAGACACTGTGGTGAACTATTTCCTTGTTATATTGAGGAAGGAAGAGATTCTGACAGGTCTGTACCTAAGAGTTAAGAGATAATAATCTAAGATATGTTTACATTCCTTAGCACAGGTAATTCAGCTTCCAGATTGTTCAAGGGGTTTTATGTTGGGGTGTTTTTGTTTGGATTTGACAGGCTGTTGATGGGGTTTTTTGGAGGGGAGGGGGACAGAGGTATTTTCTTTGTTTAAATAATAAGAAATTTTCAGAGAAAGAACTAACAAGACTATGTGTCAAAAATCTATTGACACTACCAATAAAAATTCAGAAACAGGAGTTAAAAATACATATTTCACTTGAATCTGTCCTGCCTGTCACCTCTTAATGGGTTAAATGCCCTGTTGGTGTGCCATGACTTTAAAAATGATTTAAAGCTGTCTTCAGTGAGCTATCTTTCACAAAGTATGACAAATTCAGTTACTGATAAAAGTCTGAAAGATACTGAAATTGCCTTTTTCTATTTAGAACTAATGCATGAAAGATTGCTTCTTCTAGCTTATGAATATTAAACTTGTTCTTATTTTAATCTAATAGATTAAAAAATAGCTTCCTGTTATTAGTCATGATGTTAATGTTCTTATTTTTAATCTTCTCAAGGTATGTGTCCTTTACATATGGATGGTTCTCTCGTTTTGCAGTGCTTCTTTCCATATTTTTCTCTAGTAATGAAAACTTAGGTATATGTTTTCCTTTTACTTTTCATTAAACCTATGGCAAAAAAAATGTATTTATCTGGTAATATTTTTGAGTACTGTCCTTGTATAGGATTCAAGAAAAAAGCAAACCACAATTCACCATACCCCAGTAATTTCCTGGATTCTTCCACAAGAAGATTCCCTTCCCTCCTCTAACCCCCATCTCAGTAGACCTGTGCTAAAATATTGCTTATCCTGCAGCCAATACTGTGACGAAGTAGAATGTAAGGAAAAATTATTGCATAAATGAGAAGGGAAGAAGAATTAAGTCTCCAAGTTATGGCAAATTAGTTTTTAAGTGTCTTAATTAAAATTGTAAATAAATATCCATTTTCTCTCTGTTGGCTGTAAAGATTAAGTGAGATACATTTGTAAAATGTACTTGGATGCTTTTTCCAAATGAACTTTCTCCCTGTACTTTGAGAGCAAAACAACATAATTTAATGCTGTTCAGGCTGGACCTCCATATCCTCTTTTCCACCATTCGGTGGCTCCTGGGTCCTTTGAATTTCTAGTTAAGTGGACATCTGGGGAGGCATTCTTGCTATCTTAGAACCATAGAATTATAGAATCAGTAAGGTTGGAAAAGACCTTCAAGATCGAGACCAAATTTTAACTGACCACCACCATGTCAACAAGACTATAGCAGTGAGTGCCATGTTCAGTTGTTTCTTGAACACTGCTCACTTCCATGAGCAGCCCATCCCAATGTTTAACTACTTTCAGTGAAGAAATCCTTCCTAATGTCAAACCTGAACCCCCCTGGTGCAGCTTGAGGCTGTTTCCTCTTGTCCTGTCACTGGTTGTCTGGGAAAAAAGGCTGAACCCCACCTGGCTACATCCTCCTTTCAGGCAGCTGTAGAGAGTGACAAGGTTACCCCAGAGCCTCCTTTTTTCCAGATTTAACAACCCCAGTTCCCTCAACTGCTACTTGTAGGACGTAGTCTCTAGACCCTCCATTAGCTCCAGTGCTTGACGTGTTCCAGAACCTCAAAGTCTTTCTTGAAGTGAGGAGCCAAGAACTGTAAGCAGTATTCAAGGTGAGGCCTCACCAGTGCCAAGTACAGAGACAATAATCTTCCTGATCCTACTGGTATTGATATGTTGTCCTCTTTTACCTTGTAAACTTAAATACAACATTTAGCTGTGGGAGTGAGCATCTTTCCCACAAGATCAGCATGACCTTTGGAGTTGTATTTGATGCTCAAATAAATTTTGGCTAAAATGATTAATCATTTTCATCTTAAATCGTATTACATTTCCACAAAATATGGCTTTTATTTTACCTGTTTTGCTAAACTCTAATTACCTTGGATGATTTCAGTCTTGTGATAAAGAGAGCTTTTCCTCCTTCTGACTGTTTTAAAAGCCCAAATAGAACACCTTTCACTTACTTCACTAAAGAGAGGTACTTGCCAAATTTTTCTGCATCTCTTTATTACTCTGTAGGAGAATGGGTATCATTGTAGAGCTAGTCTTTTGTACCCCTAGCAGCAGCACTTTGTATGTACTAAGGAGGAGAGCCATGAAGAAGAGATAACACCACATCATTCAAGATCTGTGTGGGACACAAAAGCCAGAAGCTCTATAGTACTTTCATCTCATGTTTACCCCCTGCTAGTTCACATGCCAGTTGTGATGACATTTACAGGGAGATAGAGTAGTAGAAGTTGGTCAGTGCACTTTGTGTCTGGGACCAGGAGGTGGAACATTATCTTCAGTTTGGTACAGGAATCTTCAGTGGTTTGGGGCTCAGAATGTGATGAAGACAAGCCTTGATTCCAGATTTCAAAACAAATTTTACACACAACACCTTAAAACACAGGGTCTAGGAGGATTCCAGTCAATGCCATGTCACTGCTGTTTTGGGTTGAGGTCGGAAAAATTAAAATGTTACTTGAGTTTCTCATTATTATTTTATTTTTCATCATCACTTTTAATACTAGTTTTGGGATCCATAACCTGTTGTTCTATAGCAGAAATCTTCTGTAACAAAACTCTTTCTAATTGTGCCATCTTCCCTTGTGCCGATAGCAGAAATGATTGTGTGTTCCCATTTTCGTGCTTGCCCACATTTTGTTTACTTATGTAAATAAGTGTGCATGAGATACAGTAAAACTATGATGTTCTAAGGGTAGAGGCCTCCTAGGAGGGGATGAACTACTTTCATGATGCAGAAAAAAACAGAAATATTTGTACTTAAATGAAGCCTTTCTTCAAGAAGACATACATGCCTAATGAGCTTTATCTTAAAAAATGAAGGGTTTATTGGACCATCACACATACATGAGACTGTCTAATACACTACCTGATGTTCCACAGAGTATTCTTCTGGTTTCCTAAACATTTTAAATATATCAAGGACTACATATTTTCAGTTTAACAAGTGTGATTTTTCTTTAAGGCTTTTGTTAATACTATAATACTGCTATTGCTTTTCATTTTTTAAATATTTTACTTGAAAAGATATCTTTAAGATCTACTAGACCTTATTTTATTTAGAGATTCAATTACAGACTGTAGATTTTTATTCACTGAGATTCATCGTAATTTACAAGCATTACAGAGAAATGATAATTTAGTAATATGAAACTAGAGAATTGAATTTCTTCATTGCTTCTCCAAATGTACTTCCATTTAAAAGAGAAACTTTTGGGGAATTGAGGACATTGTATTCCTACTCTAATCTTTTCATATCAATACAATTCCAAATCACTCTTCCATTCTTCTAAAACCTCTTTCTTCCTGACACATAGGCATATAATAGAAAGCAGGAAAATAGAAAACTCTTTTCCTCTTCTTATTCTAAGCTTCAGTAATTCTTAAGTATTTTTCTAAGTATTAGTTTATACAAGTGAATTGCATGGTTGAAATTCAAGAACTCTTCAGATAGTGTTGTATTGCCTCATGCCTTCTGTTGTTGTTCAAGGCAACCTTTGTTTTAAATTGTGACCCTCACATCTGTATAAGTGTTTGAACCATTATATGTACCTAAGAACCACTTGTAGAGCAAGCATAATTTTTGTAATATTCCTTTTCATATTGACAAGAAAGTATGAAGTGTTTCCTTTAAATTAAAAAAAAAAATTTCATCAGGGATTTTTTAGTATCTAAAGTAAGGATTTCACAGAGTCCAATTACACTTTACCTGTAACATGGCTTTTCCTTTCACTATCCATTTAGTAACAAAGTATATTTACATCAAAATACTCTACTACCCGACAGTGAATAGGGAGAATGATATTAATGTTGTGATTACTGATCACAAAAAAAACAATCTTAACAAAGAATCTATATTCAGAAAATAGTGAAAAATTTTAAAATTTCAGCTACACTCACACCATTAAATAAGGGTACTGATAGTAAAGAAGGAAAAAAAAAGAAGAAAATACACTTTTCTATGAACACTTTGCCTTCTAATTCAAAATGGTATCAGGTATTATTGATTTTAAGTTCTGTAATTCTTCTGGCTTTTTCAAATACATAGTGTTAAGGATATCATAGGTGACTAGATAATTTCCATAAAGTGCTGTTAAGTGCATTTAATTTTCCTTTCTAATTTTAAACTATATGTTAAACTGCTTTTTAGAGGTTTCCCTTCTCAGTGTTACTTATCCCAACATTTTACTTTGTGCATATAGTTTATCCTCTGTCTTCTCATAAGCAGTGATTCCATCCAGAATATTTGTTTTAGTCAGTTTTAAATATCGAGTAATACTTTTTGTCTGGGCAGAAATAATTCACTCTGACTTGTTCCTGAAAGTTTAAAGTAATTTAGTTCAAAGTTGCATGAGCTCCCTTTCTCTTTCTAATCTGGCTGAAATGTTGATAGCTTTCAGTTCAAGAAAGGTCATCCCTCTGTCAGGAAATTTTTGTCAGAAGTTCTCAGAGGAATTGTTTTGGCATTGTATAACAAATCCTTAAAGCAAAGCATTTGATAGACAAAATAGGATTTGTTTTCCTTCTGGCTGTTTGAAAGATATTATTATATCAGTAGATGAACAGAAACAGAATTTGAGAAGAGCAAAAACTTTAAAACACCTTTCTTGCCTTACTGATGTTCATAAGGCCGTGTTGACAGGAGAGTGGGGACATAGTTTAAATCTGTAAAGAAGTCTGAGCATTTTGGATCATATAAAAGAGCTGGAGAACAATTTACCTTTATTTAACCTGTTTTTCAAGTGCTTTTAAACCAAGGTAGAATTTTCATGCCCTTCAGGTGTTTGGTAACTAGGACAGGAAAACACCCTTGACACACTCCACTGGCAAATTCCTGAACAGACCTGAGAAGAAAACATGAAATAAAAATGTATTTTGTTATTACAGTACTTAGTCTGCTTTAATAATCACAAACAAGGTTCAGCCTTTTTCCTATTACCAAATATTATACAGCAATCTGCTTAGATTTCATCTGCTACTTATTCTTATTTAATTATTTTAGTGAAGTTGTTCTTGCCCACCAGAACGATACATTAGACTGAGTTTCAACTTAGTCTTTCTGAAAGTGCTGAATGTCCAAAACTTGTAGTGAATAAAGCAAGTCTGTTGTAATTTGAGAAGGGTGCCACAGAGCCACACACTACAGAGTCATTACAGAGCAGAAAAACAATGTAAACCATTGTTTGCATCCAAAGTACATACAACATGAGGATGTCTGAGGTTTCTCTAAATGAATTGAAACATGTAATTGTATGTCCTAGACTGCTGAAGGGTAAAATTGATCATCAGACTTAACTGTCATCTTGATGCTTATATGTGCTTAATATTGTTTGAGCATTTTTGTAAAGAAACAAAACTGATGGAGGACTGGACTGAAACAGAATTCGGCCTGAACTTTGGAGCTGGGCGTGGCATTCACACACACAGATGAAAGCCTTGGATCTTCTAATGCAGCATGGGGACAGATGGTGTCTCAGGAGAAAACTTGATAGAAGCCATTGAGCTGAATGGGCTTTCTTGTTTTATTCATTACAGTGTAAGTAAATTAGGTGGCAATTTCCAGGCTTTTAGATTTATATTGAATATTGCAGATGGATTTTTATTAATTTGATTAGATTTTGTTAGAATGATATCAGGGTAAGAGCACCCTAAAGGATTAGACCCCACTATTTGTCTGAAGAACCTACTCTCTGCTGACATGAATCTGAAATAAATTCTCAAATTGCTCAGCATTGTGGGAATATAGTCAGATCCTGCTATGCCCCAAAAACAGACACTTTGTCTTCTGGAAATAATGTCGAGGAAGCTGATATGCACAGGAGAATTTAGAGGCCCAAGAGAAGGAGGCAAGTAAGCACAGCTTCTATGGATCTAAATTTTGTATTCATGCATTTTATATGTTTCATAGGTCTAAAACTTAATCAGGAACCCAGTGGAATTCACAGGATGTGAACGGAAGTGTTTTTGAAAAATATGTTTCAAAATATTTTTTGAAAAAAAATAAAGCATCATAATACCTTGTGCCTCAGTAACCCTATCAAAAATTACATTTTCAAATAAAATGTGGACAAGTTCTAACACAGTCCACATATTACTACTATAAGCATAATAAAAGCAAATATTTTCTTCTGTTTATAAGACATTGGTTCTGTGCCTGATGTCAAGGCAGGTCAAGTAAGCCCTGACCAATTCTGATCCATGAGGTTTAAAACACTGAATGGAAAAGTACTGAGGCAAACAATGACATACGAGGAAAGTAAATGAGTTTATTTTTCCCTTTTAAGCAGTATAAGTGACAATATGAAAAACTGAGCAAGCTGTGTGCTATTGCACTGCAATAGCTGCCATTTGGTTTCCACACTTTTGCAGATTATAAGCAAATGCCAGAATTTCCAAGAATTGCTCCTCTGCTGCTCAAAGTAAGTATTGTGGCTTTTCTCTTAACTCTGGAAAAGCATGAAAACAAGGCCCTGCATGCAGTAAATCATGGGACTTCTTCAGTTTGTTACATTTATACTGTCAGACTCCAGTTAAAAAATCAGTATGACTGGGAAAAACAAACTTTAATCGGCTTACTGGAAGCCTCAGTCACAATAGTGCCACTGTCCTCATTGTTAGCATTCCTTTGTTTTAAAAAGTCTGAAAGGTTTTCTTTTTCTCCATAATATTCTCTTGCTAATACCTGAATTGGAGCAGTATGTGGCTGTGTGCCATATCTCATTTTTATGCCGAACATACGCATTGTGCGACATTCTGAGGCAAACACCTTTATCCTGGAACCCCACAGGGACTCAGTGGGATCTTCTGGCTTACTCAGCACACAATGACAAATGATGTTTGAATTTGTCAGCAACTTTTGTCATAGTCTCAGCCAAGATGTTACCAGCAGGGTCTTTCCAGTTTCTCCTCTTTAGTATTCCTTCTTAACATACCCTGAAAAAACCATCAAGGGCAATTTTTTCTGGAAAGGAAAGATCTTGCAAACATTTAGACTTTCATTAGCCTGTTTACAGTGGGACTGGATTTTAAAAGTCTTTTCCAACCTAAGTGATTATTCTAGCATCTTTGAACTTTTCCATATTGAAAATAGAGATTAGAAATAAATTGATATTTTGACGTGACATTTCATTAATACCTTGTCCAATGGCATTAGCATTTCCGTATGCTGCTTGGAAATACCAAAAATCACTATATTCTAAGACGCTTTTTCTATAGCTCCCTCCTCATCAATGAGTTGGGGCTAGCCTACATTCAATTAATACTCCTCTCTGCCTTTCTAGTTTCATGCAAAGTCCTGAATCAGTGCTCTTGGGTTTCTAGGCACCATGCAGAAACTGTGCACTGTCAAAATTCAACTGTTTCTGTTACTCCAGTCATTTTGCTGTCCATGGATTTTCATACAAACCTTCAATCAAGAGTTCTTCTGGATTCAGCTTTTCAGGGAAGCTCTATGAGGGATTACTGCTTTCTTGACCCAGATCATGAGTGAAATGACACTCCGTTGCTATCATAGCTGAGGTACTTTTGCAAAGAGCCAGAACCTGAACTTTACAGGATGGGGAAAGTAAAACTGAAATGTAGGTTACTGGTCTCCCAAGTTATGCTATATTTTAACTGGTGTTTCTAGGATTATGCTTTTAGACTTTACTAATATGCACTTTGTTAAAATGTTTGGAAGTTTTAGGTCTTAAAGAATAAAATCTGTGAGGTTTTATGAGGTAATTGACAGCCAGGTCAGCAACAATGCAGTCAAAGTCTGGGTAGGCTCTGTCTTAGCTTCTTCTCTTGAGAGTTTTACTGAAGGAATTGAATGCTGGTTTGACTTCTTTCCATCTTTACATTCATGTGGCACTCTTTTGTACTTTCAGATTTTTTAAACTTTAGTAACTATCATCACTGAAAGGAATTTCAATGAAATATATGCAAAGGGGCTTTTCCCGCAACTGACTTTTTACATTACTCTACAAACTTCACAAGAGAATTTGCTTGAATGACTGATGCAATTGAAATTGTTTAAGTTGTGTTTCTTGAAATAATGTTTTTACCTTTCCTTTTCCCCAGTCCTCACTCATTCATTTTGCCTGGAATGTGTTGAAAAGCATGTTGCTGATAGAAAAACATGTTCCAAGAATGAGAATTCTCAACAACATATCAAGGAGAAGTTGAGTGGAACTCTGAGCAACCTGATCAAATACAAATTGTCACTGGCTAAGGTGGAGGGGGTTAGAACTGGATGATCTTTAAGGTCCCTTTCAACCTTAAAAGAATTCTATTATTAGAAATGTGTTGTTCTACATAAGGATAATCCATCTAGGTCTGTGTGTAAAATTAAAACACTTTCCGCTTTCACCATGAACTCACATATAATTCTGCCTGTGATCAGTGTGCGATTTTCTAATATAATTTGCTTTTCATTGGACATATCAAACATGAAATGCATTCAACAATACCCGAGCTTCCAAATTCATGTGCAGTCTCCATAGACATTCCAGCTTTTTTTTTTTTTTTTTCCCCAGCTGTGCATTACCTCATTTCAGCCCTCAGCGCAGCGGTGAGTTGCCATTCTCGGGGCTCGGAAGCATCCCTGGAGGAGCCGCTCCGCACCGAGCCTTGGAGGCAGCTCCATCTAGCGCCCGTCCTCCCGCCCGGGCGGGCGTGGAACCCCCGGCGCCCGCAGCGCCGCAGGATGCATCCCTGGGGGTAGGCTCTGGGATGTGACAATTTCCAAAGCAAGCCCCACACCGAAGTTTCTTGTACAGACGTCCATATGTTCCGAGAAAATGCTTCTCGGTACTTTTAAAGCGCAGAAATATGACATTCAGCTCATGGTAATTTTTAAATGTGTGAGCTTGTGTAGGCTTTTGTTTGGGTTTGTGGGGGTTTTTTGCCAATATTACATTTTTTTTCCTTGCCTACAGAGTGTTTTAACTGCCATAATACATTTTTTTACCTAACTTCTGACCTAACAATTTTAATGTCTTATTCAGATCCCTCCATTTTTTGCTACGTCCTTGGCCTTGTTCAATGATTTTCTTCTTTTCAATCTATAATGACTGAACAGTCAAATTCTGTCATTGCATAATCTACTAAAGCAATTTTCTCTTTCAGTGAGTTTTACCCTGACCATTATTGCTGTATTTTCCCTGCCAGTAGGATGGTAAATATGACCTTTTTCCATGACTAGTAAAAGGCTACAGATTTTGTGATGACCTGATTGTACAGTTCTCAGGACTTGTCTGGACTTTCCTTGGCCTGAGCTACTTTTATCACCTTTCTATACTTCTCTGTTGGTCAAATTCCTAGCTGTAGTTACCCCTGTGAATAGAGTTGACTGTAAAGGTCTGGCAGACCAGGTTATTCACTCTTTGCCTCGAGACCAGTAGCCCCTTATGGCAAATAAAGTTGAGGGAGGCCATGGTGCAGTATTCAAACTTCAGCTGGGAATCAGTGAATGAAGCAGACTGTGATAAGAAAGCATGTAAAGGTAGTCCCAGCTGAATGCCAGCAGGGAGGCAAAGGGATCCTGCACACACACCTAAACTGAAAGCCTGTTTGGAAACACCTCAGGATGCTCATAGCCTGCCAGGACTCCCATGCTTGATGCAGATAACTAAAATTGATCCTGTGACACAACAGATGTGAACACAACACCAGAGAAAAATGTAGTTGTTAGTTAAGTGCTGAATAACAATCTTAGTGACATCAATAGAAGGCTTTTCAGTATGAATTTGAACTGTAACTTAATATTACTGTAACAAGACTAATCCGTTTATTCTATTTTATTTAGACTGTTAATATTATTATTCGGTTAAAAATAAATTTTTGGCTCTGTATGTACCTTTATGGGTTCTTTTTTTGCCATAACAAATCTTTGGGTATAACATATCCATAACAGGCACTATCAACTCTCCTTGGAACTGAAAAGATCTATATAATCTTTCATCTAATTTATTTACATTTCATCCTTTTACTATTCCTAAAAAAACAATTAGTCTGCAAGACCTGTCTGCAACTTCCTCCTATTGAACAGTTAAAATTGATTATATAGCACACCAATACTAAAGGAGAAAACACTGGAAGAACATTTTGGACTGCAAAGCACTTATTAGTTTTGGTTTATGAAACCCTGGAATAAAATCTAGGTTATCTATGAGATCTGTAGAGCCAGTTCTATCTTATTTGATCTAATTTCTCATAATAGCATAATCTGCATCTTCTATTAGTTAGAGACATAAGTGGCAGCACTAAGAATCAAGTACTGAGCTACCTGAATTATATCTTCCCCAGCTACACCATTTGGGGTTTTAAAGGGTTTTAAAGTGATGTTAAACATTCTTTTTTTTTTTTTAAACATTTCATCCAAATGCAATATTTGTTATAAATTCCACAGATGTATACAAACGGCTTATTTTATTTTGACTCCAGTTCTTTAGTTGTCCCACTATTGACAATAAATAAATATATTAATTAAAACAATATTTTTAAAAATGAAACTCTATGCAGTTTTCCTAAGGATAAAAGTTTAGAGGATAATTATTTTCAAGAACAAACAAAGAATTTCAGGTATGAAACATAGTTATATCCCTTTGTCATACACAAGACAAAAAGCCAGTATGTGTAGCTCTTGAGAATACTAAGACATTTTCTCAAAATTTTCTTAGTGTCTTAACATCTTCTAGATGCTTATTTTAGTAGATAATGCTAGATTCTAGAAAATATCTGCTGTTGTGTTCCTAAGGCTCCTGGGTAGCATGAATTCAATCACATATTTCAAGAAGGAGCCATTAACAAGAGGTTTGTCATACACTGTAAACACTTTCTTCTGGAAGAACTTTACAAGAACCTTGCTTGGCATTTGCAATTACTGTCATGATGAATAATACATCATCTTTTTCTTTCTCAGACTTTGCTGAAGAACTGTCCTAAAATTCTAAGCACTGTACCACAACTAGAAACAGTGTAGTAGCTCTCAAGAATTTTCAATGCAATAATTATTTACCTATATACCTACCTACCTTTTGGCCCTGCCTCTGAAATGAAAGATGGGCAGAGGGTTAGGATGGGATGAAAAGAGGGGCAGACTGTTCAGATATTTTTATGCTGTTGAAGATGAAATTGAGATTCTGAATTTTCAATTCTTTGTAATTTAATACCATACCAAAAAATTAGCAACTACAAATTTGCATGAGAAAGACAACCATTTTTCCAGAGAAAAAAATATTGCTCCTACAACAAAATATTTTTGTCCTCTAAATTTGCCTCACTCTTGCATCGACGTAGAATTTCAGCAAAACACGACGTTAATCTGTAGCTAAAAATTATTTAGCCAATGCTCCAGAATTCAATCTAGCTGAGGTCATCTGCCTTACAACCACTTGGTTCCAGGTAGCATAGGCAAAATCACCATGAGGAAATTAGGAACCAGGATGGTTCTCTTAATCTATTGTTGGTGAATTGAATTTGAGGTGATTTTTCTTCTTATTAATACAGTAGTACTCAAATTTTATTTGGACAAGTGACAAGTGGGAAATCTGTTTAACAGAAGGTGCCTGAGTTCTCAGAAACTCTTTAGAATTTGTGGAGTATCAAAGAGAAGGGTTAAGTCAGGACATTCAGATATGAAACATTCTGCAGGTGCTAGCTGTAATGGCATCCTACAAACCTGTCACTCAGATTATTCCTTTAAATAAAAGTATATATATATTTATAGAGTGACATTTGTAATAACCTCTTTCTTGTTCACAATCATATATTTTGTTCTGTATGATCCTAACCTCCTTTCTCCAGCTGTCTCAGAGACTTCTGTTTCACCAGCAATTTCCCAGAGTACTGTCTTTAAAGAAAAATCAAAAAGTGTCACAAACAGTGACTTGCTTAACGCATTCTTGATATTTTGAAAATATCATTAATCTTCTGTTTACATACCGATTCTTGATCAAAATTTCAGACCTATTTTTTCAATAGGTATTAAAAATAATGCTATAGATCAGGTCTCTAGTTCAGAGACTGCCTACATTCTAATAAGAAGATGGAAAAGTTTTCTCTACTTGCCTATTTCTTAACAATGATTACATTCTGCTACTAAAACAGTACATGATATTAATCTTTGCTATGAGTCTGTAACAGTTCTTACAATAACTAGAGCACATAATAAACTGACTTCAGCCTTCTCCCATTAGTGTGGATAGCCTAAACTATGATACCACATATGAAATTTGTGGCATCAAAAAAATACTATAATATCTTTATGCTACTAAAGTCATACTGTATTATAGGATTATCAAATTTGAATTTTCACTAAAGAGTTGGGCTTTTTTAGCAAAGTATTTGATAATCTTTCCTTACTGTCTTTCAACAGTGCAGTAGGAAGGGGAAATATCAGACCTACTTTCTCACAAAATCTTTCTCTTTCTCAGAAATTATTTCAAACATGTTGCAGCCTTATTCAGTATGAATAAAATATCAAAAGAACCTTTGTCATTGACAGCCAAAAAAAAAACCCAACAAAAAACCCCATTAAAAAAAAAAAAAAAAAAAAGCCCCAAGAAAATTTCTACTCTGCTGTAGTGACTCCTTTTATTTATAAATGTTTTATTGTCCTGTTGGGATGCCAGTGAGATGCTTCATAAATGATCATTTACATAATGATTCCCCTACCCATCATTATGATTAGCAGTACCAGTTGGTTAGGGTGTTTTCTTTTATGGCTAATGCAAATGCTTTGCTCCTTAGGAGAAATTTGTTGATAACATTCTTACAGCAGGGCACAGCTAAAAAATATTTTTCCCCTCAGACTGTTTTCAAGATTTGAATTCTTTTTAGAAGACATGCAAAGAAATCTTTACTCAAAGCACTTCAAAATTCTCTGTAGTCCAGCCTCATATTTGCACTTGCAGTTTGAGAGCAGGCATTGTTATCCTTCACTCAGGTGTGCAAGCTGCCCACCAAGTGAGGGAGTCCTTGAACATGGAAAGGAGCAGCTGCAAGGCAGAAAGTGAGCAATTGCAGCAGGGACTGCTGGAGACAACTTTAGCTTTACTCAGAACTAAGAAAAAGCAAGTATTTGGACCAAGATCTTCTGCAGCTATGTGGAAATCCTTGCCTATTTCTTTTATCTTCATTGAGTTTTCAGCTACTATTTAGAACCAAGACACATTTGTTCTGCTGAAACCAATGAATTTCCATTGAATGTTTTAGTCTGAAAAGATAGGGTTTTATTTTATACATTTACATTTTTATCTTAATTAAAGACATTTTCTAACAGATATGGTATCTTTATATGTCTAAATAGTTCACTTGTTACTGACAAGCAGAATTAAATTTGTGTCCATCTTTTCTATTACACAAAAAATGAAGATGTAGAAATTAATCTGTTTGGGTTTTTTCTCTCTGTAAATCAATAACTTTTGAAGAAAGTAAAGATGTAAGAATATGCTGGGATTGCAAGCTAGACAGAACTTTGAGATTGATCTGCCTGAAATTTATTAAAGCTAAACTAGCATTCATTTAAACATTGGTGGCAATGAATTTCTTTCAACAAAATCATCAATCAGCACATAGAGAAAAACAACAAAAAAAGTTATTTTCATCCCAAAACTCCACTTTGCTTTTCTTTTCCCCACTGTTTCTTAGTTATGGTTCATATTCCCAGCTCTCTTTCCAAATCTCCTTATCCACACCTGTCATGTGTTTGTTTCCTGGGGGTGTGTCTGCCCAGCTGAAGTTGTTCAGGTACATTGAGAAAGTGTGAGGACTCCTTTCTCTCTGGGAGAAGAGCTTGTTCTACAGATTTGGTTTAATCTCCAAGAATAGGCTATAA